TTGCTATTTTCCGTCTTCTGTTATTTTTCTTGACCAAACAACCCTAGTATTTACATCCTAATTTTTCTATTATGGTTCAATCATGTCCAAACAATATTGTCTAGTATCTTTTTGTTTTTGCACTGAAGATGTTCTAAAAAATTTGTCATATGAGTTGAGAATTTCTTAGATACCTATCATAAATAATGTTGGATACTTGTACTCAACGTTCAATGGGGCCACTTAGTTTAACCTAGTTTATGGGGCCACAATGTTCGTTAACAGTATGTATCTGTGTATATCTTGAGAGATAACTTCTATTGAATGATGGACATAATTTCATGAGACTGTAATTTAAAGTGTTTATGTTTACAGGGTGTCGACTATAGCTGTGAAATTAAATTTTAGAGTTTATGTTACACTTTGGTTTTACTGACATTTGTTTCTGTTCCAGTTAAGATGAAAGATGACACTTTGAAAAACATCCAAAACGTGGAGCAACTCGCAGCAGCTCTTCCAAAACTTCAGAAAGATAATCCTGCTCCTTCAATAGAGAAAATAGAGGAGAAACAGGATGTGAGAAAAGAACCACCAGTTCCAGAAGCTCCAGAGGTGAAAGTCGTCAGTGAAGGTCCTCCTGAAGTGAAAGTTGCGGAAGCTCAAGTTCCAGCAGTGCAGGAAGTGAAGAAGTTAGAACCTCCTGCTGAGATTGAGAAAACTGTGCCCAAGAAAGAAGAAAGCATTCACAACGATGCCTTCAAGAAAGAAGATGACGAAATAAAAGAGGTGCAGAAACAAGAAATATTAAAGAAGAAGGAAGAACTGATTGAAAAGCTGGAAGAAAACGAGGAAAAGCAAAAGAAACTACTTGAGGAGCAGAAGAAAATACTGCAGGACATAAAACTTGAAAAAGAAAAACTAGTTGGAGAAAATAAACAACTTGAGAATATTGAAAAAGGAAAAGAGATTGAGAAGAATCAAGTAAAAAGTCATTTGACGAATGAAGTAATTGACGAGAAGAAAGAAGCTCCGATTGTCATTGTGAAAAAGGTGCCAGAAATTGCTGAAATCAAAAACACTCTTGAAGCTGTAGAGCCTAAGATCATAAAAAAAATTGAACAGGAATTGAAGGAACCTATAAAGTTAATCAAGGACGACGTTGTGAAAAAGAATATGGCTGAAGGACTACCCCTTCCACTTGCGGTTCAACATATAGTGCCAGCATTGAAACCTGCCAAGATTGTAGACAATAATCTCATAAACCCTGATGAGGGAAATCCTGACTCTAAGGTGCTGCGGAGGGAAATATTGGGAAACAGCCAAGTAAGAGAACAAAGAGAGAAAAGAGATGTCATTGAAGTGTCTGACATTGACCTGAAAGAGGAGGGTGGAATAAAAATTGATAATACCATCCCAACCACTTCAATTAAAAATCTTGAGAAGAAAAACCCTGGAAGTTTGGTACAACCGAGTAACTCTGTGATTATTGGTCATGTTCAAGTTAAACCGGTAGTAATTGAGTTAATCCCACCTAAATCTGAGGTTATTTCTGGAAAAGACATTGAGAAAGAAAATGTTAGCAAGGATGTCAAAATAATTGCTTCAACTAATGAAGTAAAAGATGCGGGTAAGGATCAAGGAAATGAAATACAATCAAAGGAGTTAAAAGAGGTCATGGAAGAATGTCAAGATAAAAAGAAACCTGCCATGAAGTTCACTGATGAGCTAAAACCTTTGGATTCTCAGAAATTTGACAAGGGAACAAAAGACTTAGTCAAACCGTCAGCAGAAAAAGAAATCTTGAATGTTAATGGTGAAGAAAAGGATTTGAAGCTTCTGAATGTCAATAAAGACGAAACAACAGAATCTATAATAAAATCCCCAGCATTTCTGTCTAATCCAAATTTGGTCCTGCCATCAGATAAATTGGAAAATGCTGTTTTGGAAAACAATGCCATCAACAACGCTGCCAAACCAATGAAGAGGGATTTAAAATCTCTTGATCTGAGAGAAAATCAAAATTCTAAGGAAGGAGAAGCATAATGATTTCTGTAACTCTATTGTTACCCAAGTATTGTAGTGGCTGTGGAAGAACTCAACGGGGTATTTTACCACTTTACCAAAGAGGTATTGTTTCCTAGACTACTATGAAATCCGACCATAAACTATTTTTTATCAAAACCTATTCAATATAAAAACTTGGAAAACCTCAATGAAAATGGTGTTATAAAGTATATTTTTCTATTTGTATTATGTTAAGGAAAATGTGAGTACAATAATTACATTAGCAGATATTTTGAAAATGTGTAAAATGTCTGACTAAGCTAACAGAAACTGTTCAACGATTATTTATAGTTTAGTGTTGTCAAAACTATATGTTTTGTGATGGTGCTAAGGTATTTGGAATGGTTGTGAATGTAATTTATCTTACAATTGTATAATTGCATTTAATTGTTATTTGTAAATACTATTTCATAATAATTATTTATTCAATTTCCGATGTATTATAGTTGTTTTTTTTTCTGTAAAGGCCAAGTAGAAATAAGCTAGTTTAAGCTCATGACAAATGAATTATTTCCTAATGTAACTTTGATGTTCATTTCAATCAAACTCCTCAATTAAATGGATACATTGTGTATACTTTTTCTTTGGATGATTTTTGTTGTATATCATGATTTGTATTTCTTTGTTTCGCTTAACCTAGTTTTTTTTTTATTTATTTGAAAACAAGTGACCACATTTTTTGTTTGTTTTAATTTTTAAACTTTATGTTTCTTTTAAAAATGATTATATTTTGATTTTTTTTTAAGTAAGTAAAAAAACTTTTTTAAAGTAGTTGGGCATTTTAATGTATTTTCATACAAGTGTTTTATCATATTGTATCATCCGTATTCAAAATAGTGTGCTGGCAAATGAAAGTTAGTATGAAAAGTAATTTAAATCTTAATTAAGTAAAACTCATTTGAGAAATAAATTTTCAGGAAAGGCTCTAGGCCAGGATTTTGCATCGTATAATAAACGGGGATAGCTGCTAGCTTACCTTATAAGTCCTGGTAGGCCATAGAACCCACCTCAGAAGATACACAAACAATCTTTCGTCCAGTGTGTGGATTTCAAAAAGTTGTTGCTGTCACGGCTGTTACCGCGTATGAATCGGTGGCAACATCCATCATCCATGATAGCAACTATATATTAGACAAAATATCAAATGTTTAATGTGTGTTCTATGACCTGTACATAAAGCTAAGGTAAGCTAGCTGTTATCCCCTTTATTCTACAATTAAAAATTTTATGTTTTTTGTTCGTAATCAATACTGTAGATGGGGTGGAATGGTAAATTTTCTATTTTTGTTTGTGCAATTACGTTACATTTTTATTAGTCAAACTACAACGATAATTTATACTTTCAGGTATTTGAATGTACTTGTCAACATAAAAAAAGACATTTAGTTACATACTTGTTTTATCTCAAGTATAACTCCTTTATTAACTAGGAATAGATATGAATTAAAAAACTGTAGGCCTATAACTGTGAATTTTTAATGTGTATCAAACATATCGTGTAACACAGTACATGTCAAGATAACAATTCAGAATTTTCCAAAATCAACTTTGAGATTTTGTCATTATGAGTTCTTAGTTTTAAGAGTGAATCATATTTTTGTAAAAAGTAGATATTATGTAGATTTGATATAAAAATATAGGTTTGACTGTTATTTTTAAGCCTAGATTGTCTGAAAGCAACTTTGATGTAAAGATCTTGTGTTCTGAAATGTATTAAATAATTTATTGTTGTTCATTCCATTAAGGTATTTAAATGTGTTTTTATCCTTTGGATTGTAAGTTTTACTTTTGAACGATTATTGATTATCTTTATTGTTTGTTATTTTTCTTTGTAATTTAACCTGAATACACCATTTGTTAATTAAATCTATTTTTGTTTTTACTATCCTAATAATATAGACCTTAAATTTAAATTAACTCAGCAGTAGCATATGAGAATTTGCATCGTACAACCCTGGTTTGAGCCTAGACTCCTACATCATCTTAACTCTATGGTTGGTTACCGCTGGCTTAGCTTTGCAAATTATACCATAATGGTACTTCACCATCTTTGGATAACTTCAAGACCAGAAATCTAGCCTGGCAACTGAGGTAGTTTGGCTATTGTAGGGTAAACAATAATGGCTGGCTTCTTTGTTTTGTGTGTTTTCTACACCAATGGCGTTTTTTTAATTATGTCAATGTAAACACTTTAAAGTGGTCCAAATCCATTAAAATGTTGTGGATGTGACGGGTGAACCCATCTCTCCTGCATTGAAGTCAGAGACGCTGACCACTAGGCTAGCAACACATCCGAAGATTTTCTTCATTGGTCTTGCTAAAATGGTTTTACGCTGTGTCATTTCAGTATCACTACTTTTACACAACTGCACTTGGTGGTTAAAATATTGTATCATGTATTGAGATTAAATGCAGGGGCAACTATGAATGCTCATACCACCATTATTGTATTGCCATGTAGAATTATTTTAAACAAAATCAGCTAGTGTTGTCTTTGTCACAAATTTGCCCTGCTGTTGTTCCTTTTTGTTGAATCAGCAACCAGAAGAAAAACATGAACAAAGTAGAGGAAAATGCACATCTTATAAGCCACGTTCAAACGAAGCCAGTAGACGAGGAGGTTACTTGCCTTTGGTAACTTGAAATCCATCAGAGGCAAGTAGCCTGGCTGCTACCATGGCTTAACACAGGTAACCTGTCTTTCTACCGGCCTCATTTAAACACAGCTTAATTTCTTGCCAGTTGCGACTTAAAAGTCCAAGAAGATGTCTACTTAAATACCCCTGAGTCGCAAAGGAAATTGCTGCACAGAAATATATAATGAGTGGTCGGAAAAATACTCATCACTAAACAAGCCAATAAAACATTGCTACTCTTCTTGTACAATATAACTTATCACTCTCTACCCTGTTTAGTAAAAGGTATGATCTTGGAGGGAATAAAAAATGTGTCACAAATTATCTGTTTTTTAACTTTACTGCTTTTCCGATTTCCGATGACATATTTTCTATGATTGTAACATTATTTGCACTCCCGTCTACGAGGATTAAATCGGGCATTTCTCTAAACACGGTATGCTTGTATTCCACATGCGCGGGCCACACGTATTCTTCAAAGTAGCGATCTATGTCAGGAACTCTTCTATTCCGTTTCTTACGCCTCGTTTTACAAGTGTCTTTTCCCAGGACAAAGAAGAATTTTACATCACATCGACTTGTGACCGTTTTGTCATAGTATAACATGAATCCGTCGAGGAATAAAATTGGTGATGAAGTATTGTTCCTGTAAAAGTTAATGAATTTACTTTTAATTAAGCAGAGGATAAAATAACATTCAAAATTGTAGCACACAACTATTTAGAGGTAAACCAATTTGCTTTTGAATAGTCACTTTCCATTAAACAAATTTAAGGGCTTTTGAAAAATTTGTTTGCAAAAAAAAAACTAATTTACATTTAGCTTTGATTCATAGATATTTATGTACTTATTGGTGTATGAAATTAATAGTAAATTAACGTTTGCGTGGAAATTTTATCTCGTAAAAATTAAATTGAAAATATTAATCCCTCACATGAATGAAAAAATTATCTGCTTAATCACAATTCATCCAACTAACTTTCCCTATCAAATATCTCTAACAAAAAACCCACCTGTTTACCTGGAAATCACTTCACTAACGTCTTTGTTCATCCGTTCCATATCTATTGAGCTCATCAACTCTCTATTTCTCCAGTTGAGATGGGGCAGTTGTACCTGTCTGGGATCGTCATCTTTGAGGTAGTAACTGTCCTGCTTCACCAACACAGAACCGACGTACTTGCTGTGTAACGCTCTCGTAATCGTACTCTTTCCTCCACAAGTTACGCCCGATACACAGATTACTGCCCAAGCTTGTTCTGTGTCGTAAACCAAGTCTAGCAGATAAATTACGACAATAAAAATAACTGTGTCCATCATTATAACTGTTGGTTCAAGGATTGGATGTTGTGCTTTCAAATGTTGTTTGTAGAGACAGTGACTAATTGAGCTATAGCTGGGAGTGTAATCTGATTAAATTAATTGTTGAGCTATTTTTAACCGGTCAAACTGTGCAATTTAATTGTTGGGTATGGTGATGAGTTTATTTTGTTTTAAAACAAAACTTAGAAATTAAATAGTGATTATTTATACTTCAAAAAAATGTTTTGAAAGTGTGATGGATAGTATTAAATTAAATTTATTAAAAAGAATAAATAAATACTAAGGTATTTGTGACAATATACATATTATACATATTAATTATTTCTTTCTTTCTTGATTAATCCAAAAGTAAAATAATAATTCAGAAAATCCTAATTAATATGAATAAATTGGGGATCCAAGTTTTCTGGGTTAAATTTAAAATAGAATGTAAAGGCAGAGGAAATATTGGGCCACGTGCAAATTTAATATTGACATAAACATCTTGTTATTGTTACTACGTCTTAATCATTTTTTTCTCTAACATTTTATTTCACATAAAACTCTACAGAAACTATTGCTATCAACTCCATGTATATCACCTTTGTTCAACAAACACCAACAATACGCAGGGTAAAAAATTAACAATTTCAATAACAATGTAAAAAGTTTTATTAGTCAGGATTTACCACTTAATTCTTTATTTAACAGTTCAACATATTCATGAACCACAGAATGATTGTCTCTGGTGCCAGGAATCAACTGGAGATTATCACTGATCGTGAGCGCGAGCTGGAGATGACGTTCGTACTCGGGCCACACGACTTGCTCAAAGTAGCCCGGCACGTCGGGCGGGTCGTAGGTCCGAACACTACGCCGAGCCCAACACTCTTCCCTAGTCAGCTGGAAGAACAGCTGGTGTTGACAGATGGACGAGATGTAGCGGTCGGTGAAGATGAGGAACCCTTCGATTATAAGGAGCGGCAGCTTAACCTCGGACATAGGCCTGCAAAATGATTAATTCTTGTGTAATTTTCATTGCCCTGGAATGGAAAATGAAGGAGAAATTCTGGTTCTTCATTATCATCATGGACTATTCTTAATTCAAACTTCATGGAAAAAAATCCTTAATTTAAATTTTTCCTCTCAGTTTATGGAATTACTTTGTAAAATCAGGGCCGAAATAAAAAATATAGTAATTTAGATATGGCATTGGATGGTTAAAATTTGTACGAACATTATCAACAAGGGTTTAACAAGGTTAAAGCAAAGCACTAAAAACTGGCATTGGATCACAGCGTGGTTGTAGCCTAATAATGCACCACATAACCTACTAAAGGTCTTTGCTTTCTCCTTTACTCCAGTGCCTTTGGTCTTATCTAGCTGCCAATGTTTTGTCATAGATACTCACTTAGTAGATTTCTCATTCTTATAGAACAGCTGAAGACAATTTTATTGTTAGTTCTGTCTGGTGCACTGTAGAGGTCGTGTTTTGTTTACTTTTTGTTTCTTTTTTGTTTCTTGTTATTTCAGTACTTTAAAACCTTGTTTAGCCAAATAAATCTAATCATAAACAATAACTCATTCAACAGTAAGGCACAAATCATGAATTAACCCTAGCAATCAGTGTCACCGGACATGAACTAGACACAAAAAATGAGCTTCAAAATTTATAATGGGATGAGAAGTCTACTTGTGTTGGATGGACTATGGTTTTGTGCAGTACTATTAAATAATTCTGAGCAAACTAGACAAACTTAAGTTTGGGGTTATCAAAAAGTAATGTTTGATTATTTTTTTTATTTTTAACTAATTTGTCTGAAAAATTATTATTTTCCGCAAATACATTTTGGGCTTAAAAGAGTAATTTTTATTTATTTCTAAATACTTTTTTCAATACCAAGGTATTTTAACACTATCTACAATTTATTACAACTAATATACACCTATACTAAGATTTTAGGAAAAAATATGAAATTGAAAAGTTAGCAAACATAATATTTATTCCCTTTAAGAAAAATACATCAATGGCTACATTTCATCATAAAAGTCACGATGATTGTATAAACTTATAACGATGGATCAGTTTTACTTTATACAATAGATTTTCTTTTATATGTATGTAATGTAATAATTCTTTCTTTTCAATTGATTGGCCAGTCAAACAGACAATGTTATTGATGTTAACAACTCACAAACGGTTTCAACATTAACTGTCTCTTTCGCTCGCATGACCAACCCTTTTTCCGTCTTTCCCTTTGTATTAGCTCGTCAGCTATTTTGGCATCTTCATCCCACCATCCTATATTGTACCAGGGCTTAAAGTTGTTTACTTTGTATTCCTACTAATGAGAAATGAAATACTTTTTAAAAGAATCTCCTGTTTTTAGCCAGTGCTGTTGGACATGCAAGTGGCAGAAACAGCTGATATAGTTTATTCGAAATGTTGTGCAAAAGATTTTGGCTATTACAGCTGTTACCTGACTAAAAACAAGATAGATTAATCATTGTCTTTCGGGTCATAAAAGTTAAAGAAATCACTTCAACATAGTAAGCCCTAATTCAGCTTAGTTTCGTAAGACTCTTTGGTGCACAAAATAATAACACAATCACAACTTAAGCTATGTAAGAAGAAGAAGCGTCAAACAGCAAAAACCTTCTTCATGATCACTTGTTGCACATCTTCAGCCACTTTGTTCACAACGGATTGTGTAGTTCTTGTCCCGTCGATGAATTTCAAGTCACTATTGATGTTCAAAGCCACTTGCAAATTGCGTTCATACTCGGGCCACAAAACGTTTTCAAAATATCCAGGTTTGTCGTGCCAAAGAGAAGCCCAAGAGGGATCAGGAGGTTCTTTGGCCCTTTCGGCTCTCCGTTTGCGACATTCTTCTGGCGAGATTGTGAAGAAATACTTGAGGTCGCACAGCGAAGATAAGAACGGATCGGTGAAGATAAGATAGCCTTCGAGAATGAGAAGTGCGTCTCCGGGATTTCTGAGGAAATAATCACCAAAAGTGTTTCAATTCAAAAAATTGTTGGTGAAAAGTTAAAATTCAAATTAGTCTCATTCATTAATAAAGATTTAAAAACGGCTTCAGGATGTAATTGGTACTGTAAAAAATTATATTTTACCAGTTTTGGTAGTTTTTTTAGTATGGTTTGTTGGTACTTTCCTGTTAAAGGAACATTCATTATTATCGATGATTTTTTTCAATTCTTCAATATTCTATTTTTTGATCCGATATACCGATATTAATGAACGAGATGTCGGCTGACAACTACGATAAGTTAATATTGTTCAGTATCAACAAAAATTTAAAAATATTATATTGAAATGAAACTGTTCTTTTAAACTAACCTTACCTAACCAACCAACTTGCTGTAACATTTCCAAATCCCGTTTCATATTACTTACATGCCTTTTCTGTTATCAAACAAAATTTTGAAATGGTAGCCCTACAGCAAGTTTGGTTAGTTAGGTTACTTTAGAACAGTTTTACTTATTTCTGGATCCACATAATATACTATTTTTGCCTAAACAAAAACAGTTGTAAATTTATAATTTAAATGTGTTTGAAGATATTAAAACAGAAGGCATGGATCGTAAAGGAAAACAAAAATATCGATCGATCGACAGAAATCAGATCGATAATAATGAATGTTCCCTTTAACAGGAAAGTACCGGTTTGTTAATAAAAAGTAAAATTGCACCATTATTTGATGCTTAAGAGTATATAGCACACCTCCTCTAATAAAAGGTTGGTATTAAATCACTAAAGTAAAAACTCCGCTAATCTGGTAAATTCTATTATCCTACATCAGTATAAAGGTTACTGATTTTTTTACTGAAAACCTCTTCCAGGTTTGTTTGTCTACGCAGTCAGATGAGGTTGAACTGAAAACCCTCACTAAAAACAAAAAAGAACATGTACAAAAGCTACAACGGCTAAATTTAGAAGGCTTTTTTTTTGTAAGAACTACTAAAGTCCCGAACACACTAGATTAACGAATGTCTAACCTACCTGGTCAAAATCTCTCGTATATCGCTGACCATCCTATCCATATCCAACGCAGTGGCGATCTCCCAGTTGATGTGGTTCAGTTCTGGAAGGTGCGTGTGTCTTGGGTCGTCGGGCGGCAAGAAATAGTCGTCCTGACTAACTACAGTTGCGTCTGGAAACTCAGCTCGGAGTGCCGCAGCAAACGTAGTCTTTCCACCACAAGTAACCCCAGATACACCCACTACCGTCCACTTCTTCTCACTCATCGCTGCAAATATTAAAATGCTACTAAAAACTATAACACGCCACAAGTGAAATTCACTAAAAAATTAAACTCCCTCTTGTTTTAAAACGTTTAATTGGATTTCTGATGTTTCAGAGTTCAGCCCGATAGTGTTTGACTTAAGTGGTTTACTAATGTTGTAAGATAACGTAATGGGTTTAAAACAAGTTGATTCGTTTAATCGTTTATTATTTAACGACTGATTGTTCTGAATTTTTTAGTTCATGATCTTTTTTTATTTACCATTTTTTAAATGTTTACAGTATAAAAGTAGGCCTAAATATATAGGATAGTATTGAAAAACATTTGATTTATTATGTTAATATTATAGTGCCTACAAGTAAAATTTGAATCCAGAAGTTTCTTTGGTGGCTTTTATCGAAGAGCAAGTTCAATCTTTACAAAAAACGAAATGTTCAAAATAGCAATTAGCGTAGGCTAATTTAAATAGACACTTAATTAATTAGGATTTAAAATCAAGTAAGTGTCAGTCCTATTTTTATAGACCTAGATAGGCTACTTTTATTTGAATGAACATTCAAAAATAATTAACTTACCAGTACCGTATATGAAAAGGCAATACGGATAATTATTTTCAAACAAATCTCAGTTAAAAACTAACAGTAATACTTTCCATTAAAAACAACATTGGATTAAATTTACACAGTCAACATTTATATGTGAGAAAGGAATTTATTTATAAAAATAAATACCTCTGCCTTAAAAAATAAGGATGCCAATGACACAGAAAAATAGTACACATAAAATATCGAAGGATTATACAGCTATAAGATTGATTAATTTTGATGTTTGCCATATATATTGTAGGCTATATATATATGTATATATATATATATATATTGTACCCAAAAATTGGAAAAATAAAATAAAGTAGCCTGGTTCTCCCAAACCTAAAAATATAGGCCTACCCTATGACACAAAAAATATGACTACCAGTTTAATTTCATCAACAACAACTAGATAGGCTCCGTTATGTAATTAAACACCAAAGTCTCTGGGTTATCAATGTCTCTTGCAACACGTTTTTAAACAAATTAGTGATATAGCAGCCGAAGTGTTAATATTTTAACAACCAATTCTAGCTGTGTATTGGCGTGATCATTCATATAACCATACTCGAAAAAAAATCCAACTATTTCATTGCAAAATGTAACTTAAAATACTTTTTTGTTATAAAATAATATATTCCTTTAATAGTCACAATCTAACATTGATGAACTTGAATGCAAAAAATAGTTGTAGAAGCAAAGTAGGTACTGGTAGCCTTGTGTAAGAGAATTAAGATTACAAGTAGGGTATAATAATCTAGGCCTATTATCTGCAAAAACCTGAAGAACTCAGGTTTCTACTCTGGTGATTCTAAAGTCTACTGTGGGAATCAATTAATCTAGGCCTACAGCGTTTTAAACTAAAGTAACATTTTTGAGCTTAAGAAATGTCTAAATCCATGTGTGTAGCCCCTGAGCTGTTGGACATAATGAAAGACTAAATTACTTACGTAATTCCCGTCACAGCTCAATAAAATATGTCTATTCAGGACATATTTCGGTGTGTACTGTCCCTTGATAACTGTGCGGTCGGTAATCTTTGTTAGAACAGGCCTGTTTTTTAAATGTTTAATTGTTTTATGTATTTATTTGTGTTCGTACTGTGTTTATCTTCTGACGATTTTAACAACTGACCAACTCTACATTATGTACCTGAAGCTGACGATGGTGTTTTAACACCGAAACATGTCCTGAGCTGTGACGGGAATTACGTAAGTAATTTAGTCTTACATTAAGAAATATCGTTAATAATCAGACCTAGTTAACCTACCTTAAGTTTGAAAACAAATACTCACCAGTCAACTGAATATTCCAAAATTGCTAGCAAAATGTCTACACAAAAAGCACAGTTTTTGTCACCGAGTATTAATTGCAACAACGGTAAACACTATCAATGAACCGACAAAAATAGTTCCACAAATGGCCGGTATGAGTAAAGCATATCTGACAGAGGGAAAGAGCGCAGCAAGTGACGGATAAAAAGGGGCGACTATCACCCAGAGAGTGTAGTACGTGAAGAAAGCGACGGAACAAGCTAGCAGTAATGATCCATAGGTTGATGAGTTCATTAGTTCACTCTAGTCTGTAACGTATTCTTGTTAAATCATGTCTTCTTCAGAACGCAGTTCCTTCTAAAAGTTCATTAACTCACTCTAGTCTACAACGTATTCCCGTTCAAACATTGCAAAGTCTTCTTCTGTAAACACAGTTCCTTGAACGCTTTCCACCATTTCAGGTTCTTCCTTACAGCGGCTGCCTCTTTTGAAAATCTGAAATTAAGGACAAAATTACTAGTTACTTTGATCATAGAAGTAAAATTGTAATTTTGTGCTGATTGTTTGGTCAAATCCACAAAATTGCATCTTTAAAAATGGTTTTTTGATCAACTATTTAATGTGACAATGGTAGGGGGAAGTATGAAAAAAAAAAACAAAAAAAAAAAAACAAGTTAAACATACAGTCAAGTGCTGTGGAGTCTTTATATTCCAAACTGAATTAAAATTCGAAGTACATAGTTCAAATATTTTTTAAGTAAGAGTAGAAGTAGAGAGCTGAATGATTGAATCAAACATGCACAGTAGGTTTATAGCAGCAGTTAATTTAAAAATGTTGTGTTTTGATTACAGTTTTAATTTATGAAAGCTTAGGCCTAACTACATTGACCTGAAAACTAAAACTTATGTGTAAAAAAATATGTGTAGGCCTGTAGGCCTAATATTATGTCACAAAAAAACACATATTTTTCTTTGCTACATGCAATTGCTTGGAAAAAAAAGTTAGACTGAAATAGCATGTTCAAAGCAGTGGGGATTCCAATGACGTTTAAAATCATAAATCAAAAAATAATATCTTACCGATGTGGTTTTCTCCTTATTAACTTTGTTTTTACTCAATGCTCCCAACTTTCGGAGATTGTCCTTTGTGTGGTCCTTTCTTTTATTGTACTGTTTACGGATCTGGTCAATAGTTTTAACTGATTTTGTTTTCTTCAAGGACAATCCCTTGTTAAAATTCAAATTATTTCCTTGTGAAGATTTTTGAGTCTTTTTCAGATCTGGTTTGCTCTTTTTAGCTCCACTATCTAAAAAAAAAATACATTAGAAATGAGAGATTTTGGATCTAACTTACACAACGTTAGTAGGTAGCACATTTGCTATGACGTGATACCATGATTTAGGTAAACCGGAACTACTCACTACCTGATAACTTATTGCGATAAAATCACTAGAAAATCATAGACCTGTACATTACTCACATTAACTTCCTCTGTACACTGTGGTCTCTCTCAACTTAATTAACAAGTAGCCTACTAGAATACAACGAATACAAATAACTTAGTCCTACATAATGCCTAAGAACCATGCTAAACAAATTTGAAAATTAGTTTATTTATAAATAAAAAAATAGTAAGAAACCTCCTCAAACAACAGTCTGAAGTTTTTGGTACCTACTCTACAGACACGTTTAGAGTCTTCAGCGAGTATTTGAACCCTTTCGATGATAGAATATTTTTTGGCAATTGTCCGAAAAATGCTAGAGTTATTTACTTATTTCGTCCGAAAAGTGCTAGGCTTGCCACGGGGGCAAAGTGTAATGTGCGAGAAAAAAATAGGTAAAAATAAAATTTTTAATTCGAAAAGTGCTAAGGAACGATATATCGGGCCTCGATCATATGAGGAATCAAAAGAAACCATCGCTGTTTCGAAACTACAACCGAGTCAACCGATATGCTCATTTAAACTCACATGATCGAAAGTCGCGCTGGCACAATATATCGTCGCTTAGCGCTTTTCGGATGAAACGCGAACAACGATATATCGTTGCATAGCACTGAAAGGGTTAACTAAATTATTCACTCCACAGAAAAAAATATCATAAATTATCGTTTCAATATATTGGAGATGGAGATCCAGTTAAATTCTACGCCTCCCCATTGTAAACAACTTATGGAATGCAGTACCTACACAGCATACCTAGAATCACCGAAATCGATTAGTAGAACCTTCTGGAGTTTTTGCCTTCCCTATGCATGAAGACAAATCAAAACTGGATAGGCGTAGATCTCTCGAGAATATGTAACTTATATAAACTTTTTTTTTATTAGATGTAGGCTAGGTCTGTCATAGGCTATAATCGTCAAGCACCTAAGGCTAGAGAAAGAATTTGAAATAAGGACACGTCTTAAAATAAGGGGCAACCTACAGTTTCTTAACTGGGATACCCTAATACTTATTGATTAATAATCAATATTTTTAACTATAAATTATAAGGGGCAACCTACAGTTTCTTAACTGGGATACCCTAATACTTATTGATTAATAATCAATATTTTTAACTATAAATTATAAAATAAAACTGTAAAGCACGGGTCACACAAGGCTAACATCAGCTGCGCATTGATGAAGCCACTACTGTCAGCTTAATGTGCACAAAATTTGCAGTTGACACAGCCAGCTGGTGAGCATTTGTCAGCGGCTGGCGAAGTCAGACATGTTCAACTTTTGGTAGCGAGGCAGCAGCGATACATAACTAATTCTAGCAATTCCTGGAATGTATGTATGGTGACATTCGTAAAACATTTTTGTATGCTTCTGATTTATCTTCTTTTAACTTTGGCAACCGCCTTAAAGAAGCTCCTAACCATTCCTTTTTGTATCCATGGCCTGGCTCACTAAACGCTTCTTCTTGCGGTTAAGCATTTTTAAATAAAGTTCTTTCTCTGTCACACACATGCCTCAATAATCGATAAGTACTGGTTTGTGAGGACCCAAGGACGACACGGTGACAAGAATTGAGCTTTAAACTAATTAATAACTAACTTTAACTGATTAAAGTAGTAATTTGTAGCATAGAAATAAATGAGCTTAAGTGATCGTAGAAGCAGGTTTTTTATTCTTAAATCTATTCCAAAACTATTCGTGCTTGTAGGCTGTTTCTTCAAATAAGTAGGAACGTCAGAGAAGCAGTTTACAGTGAGTTGTTGCTAAACGTCACAGCTGTAAGTTACTTTCTCATTACCTTATTACCTCCTCTTCGTCTTTGACCAGCCAGGGCCAGATAGACAGTTACAAACATAAAAAATAAATAATAAAAATAACTTCTTCAAAAGAACATATATTTACAACTTTGCTTTAGTTAGATGGCGGTGGGCAGTCAAGAATTTGTGCCTCCTCAAAAAACTCGTCAACACAGTAGTACGCGTATTGCAGGAGGAGCTCCTTAATCTTTTCCTTAAATATTCGAGTCTCTAGCTCTCTCAGGTGAAGTGGCAGTGCATTGAACATTTGTACTGCAACTGCTAAGAAGCTATCTCTTGTCAGGGACAGTCTGTATTGCTGGGTATTCAGCTTCTGTGCTTCTCTAATGTTGTGAGAGTGGAGCTGACCTCGGATTTCAAAATTGTTCAGGTTGGCTCTGATGCGAACAACACAGGCAAGAATGTATTGGTTACTTAGACTGTTAGGATGTGTAATAATCTAAAAAGGGGTCTGCATGGCTTCCGCCTCCTGCTATTTGTTATTACTTGCAGTGCCTGTTTTTGTAAGAGAAGAACAGGACTGCTGTTAACGGCATGTCCCCAGATTTGAACAGGTACCGTACGCCACATGGCTGTTAAAAAGCAAAAAATAGTCAATAGGTACTGTGCAGTTATCTGGAGTTATTTCTCAAGAGGAAGATTACTCTGATTAATCTCACACAGACAGAATTATAATATGAGGGCCCCACACATCCTTGATAAGTTTATCACTTATGTATTCCTTAACGAGGTCCCACGGACGCTTCTAGTGTGACCCATGCTTTATAAACAAACCTAACCTTGCTGATAATGAAAAAATTAGTGAAAGTTTACTAATCAAATCGATATTTTCAATCGATATTAGGGTAGCCTAGTCAAGAAAATGTATCCAAAATTAGTACAATAATGCCTACCTGCTGATGAATCCCCAAAAAGTTCAAGGGATTGTTTCAAAATGGATTTCGACATAACCTCAACAGATCGTTTATCATTAATTCTTTTAAAATTAAATTTGATCTAACTTGTTTAATAAACTCTATTTTGAGTGAAATTGAAATTACAAGTAGGTAGCCTGTAAAGTAAACAGAATTATTTAAATTGATTCACGAATCGTGTAACCTCAATAAGTTAGGCCTACTGCACTCACTAACCTCCAAAATTGAAAGAAATTCAATTCTCGTCTCGGTTGAGTCTGACGTCTGACTTAGGGTAGGTACGAGGGTACGATTGAGGCATTAGTTCAAAATTCCTCCGTGAACAGTGCTGTAGTAGAGAGCACTTTGGCAATGAAGGTTTACTAATCGCAAAAATAGTTCTGTTCATAAAATAAAATTATAAATGCCTCAAATAAAATTTTATTATTTTTTAAATATAAAATTAAACTATCATAACCTAACCGAACCAACCAAACTTGCTGATAATGATATATGATTTATGATTTATAATATAACAAAAGTTTTACACACTAGGGACACTCTTGGTTTGGCCACTTGGCTAGTGAATTGGATTGGAGTAGAGCGTAGAGCGGAGCGACCAACAGCAGCATTTTAGGAAACGGAATAAAAACATGTCAATGTTTGTTTTGTTATGTTTGTGAGTATTTTCAATTTTCTGTCACTGTCAATTTTCTGCATTTCAGAAACGTGGTTATCGTTATGTTTAGAGGTTAAGTTGTAACTTATTTATTTCTGTTTTACTCTGAATTGATTGGTTACACCAAGTTACACGTGCTGAACTCCTCTACTAAGTAGTAAAGTGTGATGTGTAGGTTATCCTTGCATCTTTTTCGAAACCCCTAGAACATTTTATAACCTAATCGTAGATACATTTTGTAGTATGGCTCCTGTTAAACAAAAACGATTGAACAATGGTGATAGTTTTGATACGAAAAAGGAAAGAAAGAAATGGAAAGAGCAGAAACTCCTAAAGGCTGCTGGATTCAAAAAAGGTGTCGACCATGTAACAAATTCTGAAGATGTGGTAAGTTCTCCTCCAACATGTTCTTCAGTCGCGAAAGCTTCTGAAAACTTTGAATCTACACACACGATTTCGATAGCCGTTCCAGGTTCAATCTTGAGCAATGCTCAGACTGCAGAGTTAAGAGCTTATGTTGCCGGCCAAATCGCTCGTGCAGCTTGCATTTACAGGGTTAGTGAAGTGATAGTATTTGACGATGTAGGAAGCCAAAACAACAATGCGATTCGCAAGCCAGGTGAGGATCGTTGTGCTCAATTCTGTAGACTATTGCAGTACCTGGAATGTCCTCAGTACCTTCGCAAACACTTTTTCCCTCTTCACAAAGACTTGCAATATGCTGGAATTATGAATCCTCTTGATGCCCCTCATCACTTGCGCCAATCCGATGACTTTCCCTTTAGAGAAGGAGTCGTTTCCCATCACTTGTTGAAGCAAGGTAAAGGATCTTTTGTTAATGTGGGTTTAATTAGAGACGTTGGTGTGGACCGTGCATTAGTCCCTGACATTAGAGTAACTGTGAAATTACTGCCTCAAAAGGAAGGTACTAAGAAGAGGTTTGGTGTTATAGTTCCTCCTACTCAACCTACTGAAGAGTTGGGAGTGTACTGGGGCTATAAGGTAAGATTCGCTCCCTCCCTCAGTGATGTATTTACTAAAGCTCCATATGAAGAAGGTTATGATTTAACAATAGGAACTTCTGACAAAGGGAAACCCATCGAGGAGTGTGAGGATTCCGAATTCATTGACTTTAAACATATGTTATTAGTGTTTGGTGGACTCGCTGGATTGGAAGCTGCTTTGGAATGTGATGAAAACCTAGATATAGACGATGTTACTCTGTTGTTTGACAAATACCTTAACACTTGTCCCGACCAAGGATCTCGAACTATCCGTACAGAAGAAGCTGTGTTAATTTCTCTAGCTGAAATAAGAAGATCAATAAAAGCAGCCAAAAAGGTTGTTGTTAATGATAAGTAAGTTTGTCAAGGTAACTTGTTATGAAGGTCAATACTAACTTAAATACCGGTACCGTACAAATAAAGTAAACCTTTAATGAAATCAGTTGAGCAAGATTTGCACTTCATATAATCTTTGAATGTTGATGCAAAGAATGATCTGGCCCTAAAGTAAATACAGCTTACTCTATAAATTAGTGTTTTCTATAAATTAGTGTTTTGGCAGATATAATAATTTATAGGAAAGGTTTTTTTTACTCAAAATCAAAGGCTGCGTAAGAATGTTTTCCTATAGTTTGTATTTGATGTTGAGAAATGTATGAAAATTATTTAGGCTATTGTACAAGCTGCTATTTCAATCAAATGCCAAGGGAGGTTTATTTGTTGGTTTTGTTAAGTAAAATGTCCTAAAATGAGTCTAGTAAGCCCTGCTATATGTTAAATGGGTTGTTTTCTGGTTAATAAAAAGGTTTGTTGTTACATTACAATTTTCTACATTGTTTTATTTAGTCCTTTTGGTCTTTGTTTCCGTCAAAGATTGTTAGTACAAACTTATTTAATTATTTATTCTTAACGATTTTGTCTTGCCTTTCAGATTGCAGCAATCAAACATAGTAAAAAAATGTAGGCCTACAAGCTTATTGTTAAATTCAGATTTTTTATAACTAATCTATTATTTATTTCTACCATTATCTTGAATTATAATTTAGATTTATTGCTCTAAGTCTAGGACTACTGATTTGTTGTAAATATTTTGTAATTAATTCTAAAACTCACATACTAAAATGGAAATATTTTCCTAGTTTTGTCACCATTATTTAAAAACTGTTTCCTATCAATAAAACTTAATAAATGTACAAACATTTTTCTAGTGTGACAATGAATTGACAGAGAACACATTTTAAATCTTATGTTGTTGTCAAAGATTTTTGCATGTCAACCTCCTACAAATCAAACTCTGTGTACATACTAAACGGAATTCATATTTTGAAAATTGGCGATTAAAAACTACTTAGTTGTCTCAATGTTAAGTAAATAAATGGTCCTGGTTAAAAGAGCTTGTCTTAGTCAGTAAAAAACTACACAGGTCATATGACTTGCATTCATGTTTGGTTTAAAACACCCTGTGCGTCCCTGACTTAATTGGTGATATACTCTCTTTCAACAGTGTATCATCCTGTTGTTACAAACCTTCTGTGAAGGCAGTAAAGACATTTTGACCAAACTATTGATTGCATATAATTTTATCAATATAAGTGGTTTAGATACCTGTATTTTGGTTGCGGTACACTACCGCAACCATTTGGGTTCAAAAGAAATACAGGTAGGCCTGTATTATATTTAGTAATCTGGAGGCTATCCTTATAGAAAAACTATTTGTATCAACAATATCATGAATTAAAATTAATAAATCTGATGATAAACAATTGACATTTAGACTTGACAACTTGTATTTGAGTCTTACAGTTGTTGGGTCACAACTGAGCTGTTCAAAATTTGATTACATTGTACTTGTGACGCTACAGAACAGAAACAAGCACGGGACAACGGACAACCGAACGCTTTCAGCTAAGGTATGGTGTACTATATTGTGACATGCAAGGAAAGGCCTGTGCGGCAAGCACTGTACGGACATCGCAGAAGGGTCTTCCTCCATAATGAGCGTTTTAGTACATGGAGGCATGGAAGGACTTTACCCTAACACCAGCGACTAGTGCTAGACACCACACAAATAAGAACACAGCAGCATTTAGTTTCATTTGGATTATCTTGCGTGTTCTGTTTTCCCATATTCGAGCCTTAAAATTTTTAGGTTACTCTGATATTTGTTTTGTTTTTAGGAAAAAGCATTTAGCTTGGGTTAAATAAATATATAGGATGGAGAGGACACAGTTAACTCACCTGATGAAAGGTTGCAGACGAGTCAAAGAACACATAAAACACACACATAATATCAAGCATTATTATGTGTGCGTTTTATGTGTTCTTTGACTCGTCTGCAACCTTTCATCAGGTGATATTTGTTTTGATCACTTTTCAACTACGTTCTCGCATCCAGTAACTCGGCAGTATTGTTTCATCTTCAACACACATCTCCTACAACCTCTACATTTCAATTTCAACCTCATAGGATTAAACCGGAGAAGAATTGCATTCATAAAACTTATTATTATCATAACTTATTAGTGTAAATCCAAAACCAAAAGACTTATGTCGCATAAATTAATTGGGGTTTTGGGGAATAAAAAAGGAAAGTTTGTATACAAAATATATATATTTTTTAAAACTTTCATAACAGTCTGTATACACGTAATAAATCAGTAATAGTAATATCAAAATTAGCATGAGATTTTATGTATTTTTAAGAAGAGCTATTTTAAGATTAATCTTCACTTGTAAGATAGTAAACTCGGTCAAGGTCAGTCTTCCGTTTCATGCATCTGAAAAATACAAGATAGATATAACATCACCATATTCATTACAATAATTAAACTAGGTGTACAATGCAGTTGTCTGCTTGCAATGTTGAGCGGAGCTGGCATATTAATCCAATGCTTTTCTAAAGTCAATGCTACATCTGTTTCTCGTAAATGCGGTGCTGGTCACTTGCAGTATCCAATGTCGATGAAGTATTTTTTTCACATAAATGGAATGTCTGCATGCAGGAACCAATGTCTATGTTTCATCTGGTTCTCATAAATTAAATGTCTACTTGAAAACTGGATGTTCACTGAAATGCAGTTAATATTTTTCATTATTTAGACTACTTAGGATGGCTTTTACTTGTCAGATTTAAACTGGGTCTTGTTTACTAAAATTGCAAGCTAAATTAAAATGAAAACTAATTCAGCAATAACTGTTGCCACCATTGAATTTAAAATAAGAAAATAATTTAAAGCATACAAAAATAATTACTACCGTATTATTTTATTAGTTTCTTCATAATCTTGCCAATTGGCTAAATCATTATCACACACTTTTAAAAGTGTGTGATTAGTTTATTTTTTATTATTTTATCAGTTTAGGTTTTAAGAAAACAAACATAATTTTCTTCAAAGGAAATGTATTTAAAAATCACCTTTAAATTTTAATCTTACCTCTCTAGCTGTTGGTGAAGTTTGGAGATCGTTTCTCTGTAAATGCTTTCATTCCTTCTTTCTGATCATCCTGAAAAATTACAATTGTGTTTAATTCTTTACAATTGGCTATTGTTTATTCACCAAACTCAGGTTACTTTTCAAACGTTTCCTTTCCTCACAAATTTGTTGAAAGATGTTTGTGACATATGAAAGTATTACAGTAGAGTCCCGTTAGTCCGAAATGATTGGGACCGGGCCCATTTCGGATTACCAAATATTTTGGATAAAACGTTTTTTTGTCTTCTTACTACTTTTTTTTCGGACGCAGGCACGAGCCCGGGATTGTTTTTCACATTACTTAAGGCTAGACCTATTGGCTGCAGCATCATCAATTAATAAAATCCATTTGTGATTTGGCGGACGAAAATGTAAAATGTTACAGTAATAACAAAAATGTTGAAATGTTATTAAAATGCTCTACAAAAAAAGTCTATCTCGCCCAGCCACTACAGAATACTTTGACAAGGTACAGCTAACTGTGTCAAAAGTTGAATAAAAAAAATTTCAAAAAAAATTTTAAAAAATTTATTTTTTGGTTTCGGATTGAGCGGACTTTCGGATTACCGAAAGCGTATAAAACTCCTCTTCTGATATCTGAACCTATTAGCATGAACAGACCAACACGGATTTTTACAGTTTAACCTGTAGATTGTATAAATCACAGAAGGTTCATATTTCAATTAGTAAAACTACAGTCATTAAATACGGTCATCAAATCTATAGCAAAACCTCAACACTAAGCTCTTTATTTCCCCCACCACCTGTGAGTTTTACACGGCAAATGCCGCTGTCGTGGATCCAATAAATCAGCTGCCAGACAACTACCACCGAGCAAAAAACCAGCCTTAGCTGGGTTCATTGTAGCCTATACTGCAGTGTATTAAGTTTGTGTCAGTTGATTTTATTTTTTGGGGTCAACCAAGACGGAAGAAACCACTATAATACTATAGAGAGGTCTAAGTGTCTTCAAGAGACTTAAAGCTCTTACAAACCGATGGCAGCAACAATTTTAGGATTTTATAAGGTAGGTGAATGATTAGTAGTAAAGATATCAAACTTGTTTTTCATCAACTTACTGTGGCAAAAGTTCCATAAAACAGTTTCTTCTCCACTCTCAAACCCTCCTGGAGAGTCGTTTCAAAAGCTGCAAAACACAGAATTGTTATTAAAACCTTCTCAGTCATAACTTTCTAAACTTATTAATCTAAAGTTATTAAAAAATGGGATGTAACCTATAAATATTGTTTTCACTAGGCCTCGCTATCCATTCTTCCGAGACCTATTTTTGTTTTTAAAGGCAATTTGAAAATCCGTTGGCTTGCTGGGCCTAACACAGCTTCACCACCCCTTTCGTTTCCTACTCAGGTCCTTGCCCGCCTCTCATGACGTGGCCAAGAGGTTCAACTCCATAGGTATTACTATAAATACTTTGATTTTGAATGTTATGTAACATTTGACATAGACATTTGAAAAATCACTTTCTAATTTTGGTTTTTAAAATTAAAAGTAAACCGCTACATTATACAATAAGGACCTCTTTTCCAAGCATTTAAAACTGTTGGGTAGGTTTGGTGATTTGATTTGTTTCATGGTTTTTGACTGGGCAAAGTGCTGTTATACCGCGAGGCTCTTTTAAAGAGATGAGATTTTTAATATGTAAACTAAAGTAATAAAACAGCTAATAGCAAACAGAACATACATACACAGTACAACCCCTCTTTGATACCTCGGAACCAGACCTCTGTCCAATGTAAATACAATCAGAACTATCATGACTTAGCATAACATTAATGGATACATTTAAGAAACAGACATTAACTTTGATGATTAGGAAACTTTATGATTTTACCGAACAATTAAAAATCACACCAATCAACCTGTTAGTACCAAACAGCACTAGACTTACTGGTTGTTACTTGTTTACCTTCCAATTAAATCAAAACAAGTAGTTTGTCCTGTAGTTAAGGGTAAAGTTAAAATGCCAAACTTACCAACATTAACAGCCTCTTTACACATCTGCACAATGAGTGGCGAGTGAGAACAGATCTTCTCCGCAACCTTGATGGACTCATCCAGTAGTTTGTCTGCAGGGAACACCCGGCTTACGATCCCTTCAACAAAAAGAAAGGTTGCTTTAACAGTTCTCTTAACTAAAACTACAGGAGTGTTAATAGCCTGTCTGGTTAGTTTCTCTAACTTCAGTAAGCAAAAGGGATGAGTTCAATCCCCGATATTCGCAAAGGATTTTGGAAAGATTACCCTTGAAAGTTCTTTCATGACAAATTCCACTGTAGTGGCACTAACACATTTATGTTTAAAATGCCTTTATTAGTAAATATTTTCATTTAAAA